TGCTACTCTCCCTAGGCGCGGTCGTCCTGTAAAAATGACTGCAAGAGCACAGCGCAGAATGCTGCATGAGGTAAAGAAGAATCCCAGAGTGTCAGCTAAAGACCTACAGAAATCTCTGGCACATGCTAACATTTTTGTTGACACATCTACAATAAGGAAAACATGAAACAAGAATGGAGTACATGGGAGGACACCACGGAGGAAGCCATTGCTGTCCAAAAAGAAGATTGCAGCACGTTTGAAGTTTGCAAAAGAGCACCTGGATGTTCCACAGCACTACTGGCAAAATATATACTGTGGACAGATGAAACCAAGATTGAGTTGTTTGGGAAGAACACACAACACTATGTGTGGAGAAAAAAAGGCACAGCACACCAACATCAAACCTCATCCCCACTGTGAAACATGGCGGAGGGAGCATCATGGTTTGGGGCTGCTTTGCTGCCTCAGGGCATGGATGGATTGTTGTCATTGATGGAAAATGAATTCCAGAGTTTATCAAGACATTTTGCAGGAAAACGTACAACCATCTGTCCGCCAACTGAAGCTCCGCAGAGGATGGGTGATGGAACAGGACAATGACCCAAAGCATACAAGTAATTCAACAAAACAATGGCTGCAACAGCACAGAATACGCCTTCTGGAGTGGCCCAGTCAGAGTCCTGACCTCAACCCAATTGAAATGCTGTGGCATGACCTTAAGAGAGCGATTCATACCAGACATCCCAAGAATATTGCTACACTGAAACAGTTTTGTGAAGAGGAGTGGTCCACAATGACTCCAGATCGTTGTGCAGGTCTGATCTGCAACTACAGGAAATGTTTGGTTGAGGTTATTGCTGCCAAAGGAGGGTCAACCAGTTATTAAGTCCAAAGGTTCACATACTTTTTCCTCCCTGCACTGTGAATGTTTACATGTTATGTGCAATTAAACCATGGCAACATCTAATGTTTGTGTAGTATTATGTTCAGCAGACTGTGTTCTTCTATTGTTGTGACTTAGATGACGTTCAGAGCACATTTTATGCCCAATTCATGCAAAACTCCAAGTAATCCCAAGGGGTTCACATACTTTTTCTTGCAACTGTAGATGAAAATACACTTGTGTATAAAACTCACTTTTTGGCTTTAAAACAACACTGGGGTTCTTAACATAAAATTATAATGATATTATACATCCCTGGCCAAAGGTTTTGAGAATGACACAAATATTTATTTAGCTGCAAGGAAACCCGTGCGGTCATCATTTCTTTGCACAAAAAGAGATCCACAGGCAAGGATATTGCTGCTACTAAGATTGCACCTAAATCAACCATTTATTGGATCATCAAGAACTTCAAGGAGAGAGGTTCAATTGTTGTGAAGATGGCTTCAGGGTGCCCAAGAAAGTCCAGCAAGTGCCAGGACCGTCTCCTAAAGTTGATTTAGCTGCGGGATCGGGGCACCACCAGTGCAGAGCTTGCTCTGGGATGGCAGCAGGCAGGAGTGAGTCCATCTACACGCACAGTGAGGTGAAGACTTTTGGAGAATGGCCTGGTGTCAAGGGCAGCAAAGAAGCCACTTCTCTCCAGGAAAAACACCAGGGACAGGCTGATATTCTACAGAAGGTACGGGGACTGGACTGCTGAGGACTGGGGTAAAGTCATGTTTTCTAATGAATCCCCTTTCCGATTGTTTGGGGCATCCAGAGAAAACTTTGTCCGGAGAAGAAAAGGTGAGTGCTACCATAATTTCTGTGCCATGCCAACAGTAAAGCATCTTGAGACCTGGAAGCAACCATTATGTCCCCAAATTCCTAAAGATCTGGATCCCCTGGGTGGAACGTTTCCTCCCGACAAATTTTGACGATTCGCTGCTCCTCCCTTAACATTTTTCTTCAGTCTTGCCCATGATGGTCCTACTTGCCATTTCCTACACTGGTCCGGTTGCAAACTGCTCCTTCTCTTCTGGAAGTCACACACCTACTCTCCCCTTCCTCTGTTCCCTTTCCTGGCCTCCTTTATTCTTTCCTTCCTCTTTCCAACCCGCTCCCAATTTTTTTTTCTTCTGCCTTCATTTTGTCTGGAACCTATAGATAGTTCTGCGGTGGAGTACACCCTAGTTGAACCATAACCATTCTTTACCCCCCTTTTTGTATTGCACTTTTTCCAAATGTTTCATTGTGGTTCCCAGTTGTATGTTTTCACGTGTCTTTTATCTCTATGCCTTTGGGCAACATGTTCTCCAATACTTCTGTATATGTACTTGCTTGTCCTAAGCTTGTTTCTAGCTTGGAAAATCAATAAAATGTTTGAACAAGAAAGCATCCTGAGACCATTCATGTGTGGGGTCGCTTCTCAGTCAAGGGAGTGGGCTCACTCACAATTTTGAAGAAGAACACAGCCATGAATTCAGAATGGTCCAAAAACATCCTCCGAGAGCAACTTCTCCCAAGTGTCCAAGAACAGTTTGGTGAGGAACAATGCCTTCTCCAGCATGATGGAGCACCTTGCCATAAGGCAAAAGTGATAACTAAGTGTCTTGGGGAACAAAACATTGAAATTTTTGGGTCCATGGCCAGGAAACTCCCCAGACCTTAATCCCATTGAGAACTTGTGGTCAATCCTCAAGAGGCGGGTGAATGAAAAAGTGAAACCCTACAAATTCTGACAAACTCCAAGCATTGATTATGCAAGAATGGGCTGCCATCAGTCAGGATGTGGCCCAAAAGTTGATTGGCAGAATGCCAGGGAGGATTGCAGAAGTCTTGAAAAAGAAAAGTCAACACTGAAAATATGGACTTGCATAAACTTTATGTCATTGTCATTAAAAGCCTTTGATGCTTCTGAAATGCTTGTAATTATACTTCAATATACCAGAGTAACATCTGACAAAAAGGTCTCAAACACGGAAGCAGCAGACTTTGTAAAAATTAATATTTGTGTCATTCTCAAAACTTGCTCTTTATAAAGTAAAAAATAGAAAATGAAAAGTCTCAGGTCCAGGCGAAGTAAGATTTTTAAATCATCCCCATTGTATCCAAAAGTAATAAAAATAAATTTGGCTAGAGTTAGCCTGTAACATATTACACCACAGGAGCTTACACTGTAATGTCCCCTCACAGTCACACACTATTATTATACATTTATATAGCACTGACCTATACTGCAGCGGTGTATAGAAAACATTGAGGCAGTCTTATTAAACTCTGCACCACAGGAGCTTACACTCTAATGTACCCCCACATTCACACACTATTATACAGTTGCAAGAAAAAGTAGGGAACCCCTTGGGATTACATGGAGTTTTGCATGAATTGGGCATAAAATGTGCTCTGAACGTCATCTAAGTCACAACAATAGAAGAACACAGTCTGCTGAACATACTACACAAACATTAGATGTTGCCATGGTTTAATTGCACATAACATGTAAACATTCACAGTGCAGGGAGGAAAAAGTATGTGAGGCTCTAGCTTAATGACTTCTCCCAGAGCTAATTGGAGCCAGGAGTGAGCCAACCTTGACTCCAATTAGTGTGATGATATTGGATGTGTTGCTGACAGTTGTCCTGCACTTAAAAAACACACACCTGTTTTGGGTTTACTGGTTTCAAGAAGCACTGTCTGATGTGAACCATGCCTCGCAGAAAAGAGCTCTCAGAAGACCTACGATCAAGAATTGTTGACTTGCATGAAGTTGGAAAGGTACAACAAAAATATCTCCAAAAACCTTGATGTTCATGTGTCCATGGTAAGACAGACTGTCTACAAATGGAGAAAGTTTAGCACTGTTGCTACTCTCCCTAGGCGGGGTCGTCCCGTAAAAATGACTGCAAGAGCACAGCACAGAATGCTGCATGAGGTGAAGAATCCCAGAGTGTCAGCTAAAGACCTACAGAAATCTCTGGCACATGCTAACATTTTTGTTGACACATCTACAATAAGGAGAACATTAAACAAGAATGGAGTACATGGGAGGACACCACGGAGGAAGCCATTGCTGTCCAAAAAGAATATCGCAGCACGTTTGAAGTTTGCAAAAGAGCACCTGGATGTTCCACAGCACTACTGGCAAAATATACTGTGGACAGATGAAACCAAGATTGAGTTGTTTGGGAAGAACACACAACACTATGTGTGGAGAAAAAAAGGCACAGCACACCAACATCAAAACCTCATCCCCACTGTGAAACATGGCGGCGAGGGAGCATCATGGTTTGGGGCTGCTTTGCTGCCTCAGGACCTGGACGGATTGTTGTCATTGATGGGAAAATGAATTCCAGAGTTTATCAAGACATTTTGCAGGAAAACGTATGACCATCTGTCCGCCAACTGAAGCTCCGCAGAGGATGGGTGATGGAACAGGACAATGACCCAAAGCATACAAGTAATTCAACAAAACAATGGCTGCAACAGCACAGAATACGCCTTCTGGAGTGGCCCAGTCAGAGTCCTGACCTCAACCCAATTGAAATGCTGTGGCATGACCTTAAGAGAGCGATTCACACCAGACATTTCAAGAATATTGCTACACTGAAACAGTTTTGTGAAGAGGAGTGGTCCAAAATGACTCCAGATCGTTGTGCAGGTCTGATCTGCAACTACAGGAAACGTTTGGTTGAGGTTATTGCTGCCAAAGGAGGGTCAACCAGTTATTAAGTCCAAAGGTTCACATACTTTTTCCTCCCTGTACTGTGAATGTTTACATGTTATGTGCAATTAAACCATGGCAACATCTAATGTTTGTGTAGTATTATGTTCAGCAGACTGTGTTCTTCTATTGTTGTGACTTAGATGACATTCAGAGCACATTTTATGCCCAATTCATGCAAAACTCCAAGTAATCCCAAGGGGTTCACATACTTTTTCTTGCAACTGTACATTTATATAGCTCTGACATATACCACAGTGCTGTACAGAGAACACTAAACCAGTCACATCAGTCTCTGTATCAAAGGAGCTTACACTCTTTTCCATATTCACCTTTGTTGCTCTTTCCTAGGAAGAATAAAACATCAAGATGGAGTTCGCCCGCCGCCTGTCGCACCAGAAGATTTTATTGGTTCACAGACTGGCCTCTAGAATAATCCCCCATAGATGCCCGTTGAACACAGACATTGTCTCCACACACAGGAAGATCTCATCGACACAACTTTATCAGACTTTTATCCCCCACAGTCCTCAGACGTCACCCCTGTCCTGCAGATTTCACACCAGCTGCAGGAAATCCGATGGACGTCGCAGCTCATTACTGGGTGATAACGTTGGGTGCTCTGGGGTTAACTCCAGATTGCCACAGACTGTCTTTGCACCCCAGAACCTCGTCCTGTGTGCCAACACCATCCACACACTCTGCCCACTTGAATGTTCTCTTACCACCACATGTGTGGATCCTCATCAAACCCATCCAGAAATTGTTTGCCATCATCCTGGGCAGGTTAGATATATGAATTCTGTCTTAGTAATGTTTTTGCTTATGATTTTTAAATCTGGCCTTCCCTTCAGCCTTGCACAGTTGTTCTGGCTCCTCTCCTGGACTGAAATTGCTTACTCTGAATGGCAATCCCTCCAGTAATATAAAGATCTATATAGGGGAATCAGGACCTCCTTCCTCCTGCCGGTGATCCCTCTAGTGATAGGATCTATATAGAGGAATCAGGACCTCCTTCTTCCTGCTGGTGACCCCTCCAATTATATAAAGATCTATATAGAGGAATCGGGACCTCCTTCTTCCTGCTGGTGACCCCTCCAATTATATAAAGATCTATATAGAGGAATCAGGACCTCCTTCCTCCTGCCGGTGACCCCTCCGGTGATATAAAGATCTTTATAGAGGAATCAGGACCTCCTTCCTCCTGCTGGTGACCCTCCAGTGATATAAGATCTATATAGAGGAATCAGGACCTCCTTCCTCCTGCCGGTGGCCCCTCCGGTGATATAAAGATCTATGTAGAGGAATCAGGACCTCCTTCCTCCTGCTGGTGACCCCTCTAGTGATATAAAGATCTATATAGAGGAATCAGGACCTCCTTCCTCCTGCTGGTGACCCCTCCAGTGATATAAGATCTATATAGAGGAATCAGGACCTCCTTCCTCCTGCTGGTGACCCCTCCAGTGATATAAGATCTATATAGAGGAATCAGGACTTCCTTCCTCCTGCTGGTGACCCTTCTAGTGATATAAAGATCTACAGTATATAGAAGAAGATCAGGACCTCCTTCCTCCTGCTGGTGATCCCTCCAGTGATATAAAGATCTATATAGAGGAATTGGAACCTCCTTCCTCCTGCTGGTGACCCCTCCAGTGATATAAGATCTATATAGAGGAATCAGGACCTCCTTCCTCCTGCTGGTGACCCCTCCAGTGATATAAGATCTATATAGAGGAATCAGGACTTCCTTCCTCCTGCTGGTGACCCTTCTAGTGATATAAAAGATCTACAGTATATAGAGGAATCAGGACCTCCTTCCTCCTGCTGGTGATCCCTCCAGTGATATAAAGATCTATATAGAGGAATCGGGACCTCCTTCCTCCTGCTGGTGACCCCTCTAATGATATAAAGATCTATATAGAGGAATCAGGACCTCCTTCCTCCTGCTGGTGACCCCTCTAGTGATATAAAGATCTATATAGAGGAATCGGGACCTCCTTCCTCCTGCTGGTAACCCTTCTAGCAGTGGTGGAACTAACAGGGTGGCAAAGGTCGCTCTAGCGCCCAGGCCCTGAAGGTCGGCACTGTGGGAGGCTCCCAAGAGGTCAGGCCGTGGCTCCCCCAGCAGCTGCAGGGCTCTGAGCTAAGCATCTCACACAGCCCAGAGCCAGCACTGACAGTCACCTGCCTGAGCAGAAGGGGGGAAGAGAGCTGGTTCTGCTCCTGTATTTGCCATGCCCACATCTCCTGGCAGTGTTGTGCCTCAGAAAAGGGGAAGTTTGAAGCCCAGGACGCAGAAGAGGACTCTGATGTAAGGTGCACTCAGCAGACTGATGTAAGGGGGTCTCTGGAAAAATATTTTTTAAGGGGAATACTGCAAACTCTGATGTAAGTGGGGTCTCTGGTTCCCAGAGATTCCCTTATGTCACAGTTCTCCTTTACCCCAGAGTCTGCAGCGCTCCTTTTTATATCAGAGTTCCCTCCTTACAATAGAGTTCTCAGTGTTCCCCCTTAAATTAGTGTCCCCAGAGTTCTCCCCTATATCAGAGTCTTCAGAGTTGCCTTATACAGTGTAAGAGAACTCGGCAAGTTCAGGTGCAAGGGGGAACTCTGCAGATTCAGATGTAAAGGGGAACTTTGTGGATTCAGATGTAAGGGTAATTCTATTCATTTTACCCACTGCCAGACAGCACCCTGTGCTGTCACTTTTGCATCTTCGTCTGTGTGTAAATGTGCTGGAAAATATGTACACTGCTCAAAAAAGTTAAAGGAACACTTTTTAATCGAAGTCTAGCATCAAGTCAGTGACACTCCTGGGATATTGATCTGGTCAGGTAAGTAGCAGAGGGGGTTGTTAATCAGTTTCAGCTGCTTTGGTGTTAATGAAATTAACATCAGGTGCACTAGATGGGCAACAATGAGACAACCCCCAAAACAGGTTAAGGCCACTGGCATTTTTTTCCCCTACTCCTCTTTTCTGACTTTTTTTTCACTAGTTTTGCATTTGGCTAGGGTCAGTGTCACTACTGGTAGCATGAGGCCATACCTGTACCCTACAGAGGTTGCACAGGCAGTCCAACTCCTCCAGGATGTCACATCAATACGTTCCATTGCCAGGTTTGCTGTGTCTCCCAGCACAGTCTCAAGAGCATGGAGGAGATTCCAGGAGACAGGCAGTTACTCTAGGAGAGCTGGACAGGGCTGTAGAAGGTCCTTAACCCATCAGCACGACCGGTATCTGCTCCTTTGTGCAAGGAGGAACAGGATGAGCACTGCCAGAGCCCTACAAAATGACCTCCAGCAGGCCACTGGTGTGAATGTCTCTGACCAAACAATCCCAGACTTCATGAGGGTGACCTGAGGGCCTGACGTCCTCTAGTGGGCCCTGTGCTCACTGCCCGGCACCACAGAGCTGGATTGGCATTTGCCATTGAACACCAGAATTGGCAGGTCCACCACTGGCGCCCTGTGCTTTTCACAGATGAGAGCAGGTTCACCCTGAGCACATGTGACAGACGTGAAAGGGTCTGGAGAAGCCGTGGAGAACGTTCTGCTGCCTGTAACATGGTTCACCATGAATGTTTTGGTGGTGGGTCAGTGATGGTCTGGGGAGGCATATCCATGGAGGGACACACAGACCTCTACAGGCTAGACAATGGCACCCTGACTTCCATTAGGTATCGGGATGAAATCCTTGGACCCATTGTCAGACCCTACGCTGGTGCAGTGGTTGCTGGGTTCCTCCTGGTGCAGTGGGTCCTGGGTTCCTCCTGGTGCAGTGGGTCCTGGGTTCCTCCTGGTGCACGACAATGACCGGCCTCATGTGATGAGAGTATGCAGGCAGTTCCTGGAGGATGAAGGAATTGATACCATTGAATGGCCCCCACACTCGCCTGACCTAAATCCAATAGAACCCCTCTGGGATGTCATGTTTCGGTCCATCCGACGCCACCAGGTTGCATCTCAGACTGTCCAGGAGCTCAGTGATGCCCTGGTCCAGATTTGGGAGAAAATCCCCCAGGACACCATCCGTGGTCTCATTAGGAGCCTCCCCCGACTCAGGCATGCAAACAAGCACGTGGGGGCTATACAAACTACTGAGGACCATTCTGAGTTGCTGCAATGACATTCCAGCCAAATGGACTCACCTGCTGAAACAATAGATATTGGATAAAAAGTTCAAGATTGTTGAGATTGCAGGGGAGACGTTAGCAAAGTAAGAAAAAATAGGAGAGGGCTGGGTGGTGGGGCGACGGGGGGGGGGGGGGGGGGGGGGGGGGGGGGGTGGGGGGGGGGGGGGGGGGGGGGGGGGGGGGGGGGGGGGGTTTTTTTTTTGTTTAATCATTTCCCTTTCCTGTTTTCGGGCCCTTGGGCCAAAAAATGATGTCATACACCCCAGGGGGGTTCTCTGGGAAGGGAGGAGGGGCAAAAAGGGCCATATCCCCCCCTTACCTGCATCCCTAAATTGAAGGGCAGAGGGGTTTCCCCCGGGAAGGGGGAAGGGTTTCCCATGAATCACCCCTGCCCCTTCCCTCAAAAAGATGGCCGCGGGCTAAAAAATGATGAGGGGGGTGGGGGGTTGAATTTGTTTTTCTCAGCAAAAATTTTAAAGCATGGGGGAGGGGGTTGGATGGGGGAGTTTGCTTGAAAAATAAAAAAAATTTAAATCCCCTTTTTTCAGTTTGAGATCAGACCCCTTTTTATTTCTGCTTTCCCCCCGGGTTTTCAAAACTATGCGGGCGTGGGGGGCCACGTTTTGCTCGGGCATGAGGGGGCCCATTATTTTGAATGGACCCCGTCCCCCAAAGACAGGGGGGGGGGAAAGGGCCCCTGCACTTCTGAAAAACGCGCCGAGGGTTCCCAGAGGGTTTTGCGTTTTCCAGTGGGGGGGGGCGGGTGGCCGTTAAAACTTTTTACGCGGCACGGATTTTCTGCGGATCGCAGTGGCCCCCACTCCCCCACGTTTTGTAAACCTGGGCCTTTAAAGGCTGACCATGCATGGGTTTTTTTTTTTTAAATTTAATACCCGGTTTTCTGATCAATAAACACACAAAAAAAAAGCCTTTTTTCCCCCTCACAAGCAAGGTGGTTTAAGGGAAACCCCCCCCCCTTTTCTATTGTATTTTAAAGGGGCCCCCCCTTTAAAAAAATTTTGGGGGGTTTTTCGGAGAAAAAAAATTTTTAAAATAAAAAAAAAAAAATTTTTTTTTTTTTTTTTTTTGGGGCCCTTTTTGGTTTTCCCCCCCAAAAATTTTTTTTTTAAAAAAAAATTAAAAAAAATTTTTTTTAAAAAAAAAAATTTTTTTTTTTTTTTTTTTTTTTTTTTTTAAAAAAACCCCCCCCCCCCCAAAAAAAAAAAAAAAAAACCCCCCCCCCAAAAAAAAAAAAAAAAAAAACCCCCCCCCCCCCCCCCCCCCCCCCCCCCCCCCCCCCCCCCCCCCCCCCCCCCCCCCCCCCCCCCCCCAAAAAAAACCCCCCCCCCAAAAAAAAAAAACCCCCCCAAAACCCCCCCCAAAAAAACCCCCCAAACCAAACCCCCCCCCCCCCCCCCAAAAAACCCCCCCCCCCCCAAAAAAAAAAACCCCCCCCCCCCCCCCCCCCCCCCCCCCCCCCCCCCCCCCCCCCCCCCCCCCCCCCCCAAAAAAAAACCCCCCAACCCCCCCCAAAAAAACCCCCCCCCCAAAAAAAACCCCCCCCCCCCCCCCCCCCAAAAAAAATTAAAAACCCCCCCCCCCCCCAACCCCCCCCCCAAAAAAACCCCCCCCCCCCCCCCCCAAAACCCCCCCCCCCAAAAACCCAAAACCCCCCCCCTTTCCCCCCCCAAAAAAAAAAAAACAAAAAAAAAAAAAAAAAAAAAAAAAAAAAAACCAAAAACCCCCCCCCCCCCCCCCACCCCCCCCCCCCCCCCCCAAAACCCCCCCCCCAAAAAAAAAAACCCCCCCCCCCCCCCCCCAAAAACAAAAAAAAAAACCCCCCAAAAAAATTTTGGGGGGGAAAAACCCCCCCCCCCCCCCCCCAAAAAAAAAAAAATTTTGGGGAAAATTAAAAGGGGCCCCTCCCCCCCAAAAAAAAAACCCCCCCCAAAAACCCCCCTTTTTTTTTTAAAAAACCCCCCCCCCCCAACCCCCCCCCCCCCCTCCCCCCCTTTTTTTCCCCCCCCTTTCCCTTTTTTTTTAAACCCCCCCCCTTTTCCCCCCTTTGGTTCCCCCCCCCCCCTTTTTTTTTTAAACCCCCTTTTCCCCCCCTTTTTTTTTTCTTCCCCCCCCAAATTTTTTTTTTTTTTTTTTTTTTTTTTCCCCCCCCTTTTCCCCCCCTCCCCCCCCCCCCTTTTTTTTTTTTCCCCCCCCCCCCCCCCTCCCCTTTTTTTGGGGGGTTTTTTAAATTTTTAAAAAAATTTTTTTTTTTTTTTTTTTTCCCCCCCCTTTTTTTAAAAAAAAACCCCCCAAAACCCCCCTTTTTTTTCCCCCCCCAAAAATTTTCCCCCCCCCCCCCCCCAAAAAAAAAAATTAAAAACCCCCCCCCAAAAAAAAAACCCCCTTCCCCCCCCCAAAAACCCCCCCCTTTCCTGGAAAAAAACCAAAAAATTAATTTTCCCCCCCCCCTTTTTTTTCCCTTCCCTTTTTTTTTTAAATTTTTTTCCCCCTTTTTTTAAAAACCCCCTTTGGGCCCCAAAAAAAAGGGGGGTTTGGGGTTTTTTTTCCCCCTTTTTTTAAAGGGGAAACCCCCCTTTTTAAAAAAAAATTTTTTTTTTTTGGGCCCCCGGGGGGTTTTTATTTTTGGGGGGGGGGAAAAAAAAAAGGGGGGGGGGGGGGGGAAAAAAAAGGGCGTGTTGTATATATGTATATATATATTTATATATATGTTTAGTGTGTATTGTTTTCTGCTCTCGGAGTGTACGGGAATGGTGGATGAGCCCTGCCAGCGAAAAACCGCCAGCTTGTACAAAGATTCCCTGCGGCGGAATTCGGTGGAAGCTGTCTTTTAGCGCGGTGGGGTTCGGATTCCTGTCATTTTTTTATTTCACTTCCTGGAGGAAACGCCAATCCACCGGACGTATGCGGCTTCTGATGTTTAGGAACGGAGCATTGTGACATGCTTAATAAGATCGGCTTATGAAAGTGTGAGTTCGCTGTGACAGGCTTTGATTTTTGACAAGAACCTTCCCATAGATTCTATGTTCTATTCAACATTGACTTCATATACAGTTATTTGCCTGTGTAAGTGTGTTTTTGGTTGCTGGCTGTGACAGTGACTTCCAAAAAGCCAGAGACTGCATATGATCGTTTTGAGTTCCGTTCATAATATTGGAGGGGCGTTGGCTCAGCCAGCCCACAGCAGTAGGTGGCTGTTACTCAAGTTCACTCTACCAACTATCCACTCTCCTTGGGCCTCCAACCCTTCGTATCTGTGTCCGATTTGTATGTGCAGAGAAGCGGGGCCATGTCACAGAAAGTAATTAGTACACCCGCTCTGAACTGCGTGCCTTGTGTGCCTGTGATTATTACCAAACTACTTGTTCCCTTATCCTGGCCCACTATTGTGCACTTCTGCTATCCTCTTCTCCAAAGTTAAGCCCATTTTTCAGCTAGTTCAAGGGAACATTTCCACTTTTGTGAATATCAATATTTCTTGGATATTTGCCTACTCCGAATCTACCTTTGCCTTGCAGGAGACTCATCCATAAATACGGGATAGCTTGAGTGTATTCTTCCATTTCTAGAACTTTCCTTCCCCCTTTGCTCCTCAGTTGAGGTCTCTTTGTGTCAGGCATGTGCTCCGGCAAACAGGCACTTATGTAATTGGCTGCAAAGATACTAGGACGCGCTTTTGGGTTGTCATTTATGATTGTAGAAATCGTTATGCATGTTTGTTGCCCCGCCAGCTTGCATCAGGTCAGGTCAGAGCGCACCGTACGTTCCACTTGTGATTATGGGTCAATCCTGCTGATGGTTCAGCCATACATGCCAACAGGCTTCCCATTGCAGCATTTAAGAAAGGTTCTATTGTTGCTTGCAACGAACGTCGGTGCAGACTTAATTTTTCATGATTGTGAGGGTGCATCTCCATTCGCGAATGTAACACTATCTGTGGTTATTTTTTTGTTTGAATAGGTACCTACACGGTCAGTGTGGGGTAGGACGCTGGAGGTCATACACTTCTCATGCTCTTCTTTTTAGATGGGTAGGAGGCAGGAGGAAGCACCATTAGATGGCTATAGCCGGGTCTGATTGTAGGGCTATGGAATGCAGTACCCATTGTAAGGAGGGGCATAGGACTACCAGGAGGTCAGTAGGGCGATACAAAATAAATTCCCCCAGCTACTTGGACAATCGCATGTTGTAAATAGGCTATTTAGTTTACAATATATGTGTTATGTATTAGTGTATGATTGTGTCTGTTTCACTGTAGGTATTTGCCCAGAAAACTATACAAAGGCTGTTCCCAGTTATGTCATGTTTTTATTTACAAGGCTGTTAGTTGTACATGGCAGTGTACAAAAGCCCTGTTAGTTTGCAGGGCAGTGTACAAAGGCTGTTAGTTTGTACGGGCAGTGTACTCTACAAGGCTGTTTAGTTTGTAGGGCAGTTAGTACAAAGGCATGTTAGTTTTGTTATGGCAGTGTACATAAGGATGTTAGTTTGAACAGGCACAATGTAACACCAAGGGTTAACGGCGCAGAGGGACAGGGGCAGCATTGGAGTGACAAAGTGTATGCAGGGCAGTATACAGGGGGTCTGCAGGGAAGAAGATAAGGCTAACAGTTTGTGATGGCAATGTACAATAGGTCTGACTTAATTTGGGGGAGTGCCCGGGGGGGTACGGAGGGTTGGAGTGCCCGGGGGGTCGGCGGGGGAGGCCCCGCGGGGGTCGGCGGGGGAGTGCCCCGGGGTCGGCGGGGGAGTGCCCAGGGGGTCGGCAGGGGATAGGAGTGCCCAGGGGGTCGGCATGGGAGTGCCCAGGGGTCAGTGGCATGTAACAGAGTGTCAGCAAGGGTGGAAGACGGATCATGCAAAGCAGTGTACAATTGATTAGCAGGATGAGGACAGGATTTTTGGGGGGGCCCAGCTTAAACCTGGGCGGGGGGTGCGCAGGGACCACCCCAGCACCTCCCTAGATCTAGATATGAGGGGAAGAGGGAGTGCTTGGTGAGAAAGTGGGTACGGTTGCAGTGGTAAAAGGCGGTTTACAGCTGTGTAATGATAAAGGTAATAGGGTTTTTAAAAAGGAAATACTGGGGGGGGGGGGGGAGATGGGCTTCAATGGGTTTTTTGACTTAAGAGTTCCACTTTAAAAAAAAAAAAGTATTGTTTTGAAAGAAGAAACAGCAATTGTTTATGATACACAGTGCTTCAGCAAACTAAGGCCTCATTTACACTTGCCAATTTGGGGTCGATAAAAACAGGCGATTAGAGTCATGTTTTTTTAATTGCTTCCTTCTACCCCCCCCCCCCCCCCCCCCCCCACCCCTTTCCCCCCCCCCCGCCATCTTCTCTTAAAGCTAAACACCAGGTTTCATCCAGTGTCAGGAATCATAGGAATGACCAGAAAGGTGTGGACTGACACAGGGAAAAACGCAGGTCTCAGGTATAATATAATACAGGTTATTAGCCACCCAGATATATATATATATATTATATAAAACGCACAGTGAACAAACTAACCTTCCACTAATCTTAGGAGGTGCAGGAACACAGGCGTAGTCAGGGCTGGAGAGGTGGAATGGTCAGGCCGGCCGTAGGGTTCTGTAACGACTGCCTGGTGGTACCTCTAGCGGTCCTCAGGGCAGGATTCCCCAGGGCGCGGAGTCTAAGTCCCAGTCTGCTATTCACCAGGGCCCCTGATGGTGGGGATGGGACTTGGAGCAGACAGGAACCCAGGGTCGCGGCCCCTGAGTACACCTGCTAGTGATAGAGGGATCCGCCAGAGGTATGTGCAGGTACGGCTGGATCCGTGCAGGATGGATGGATGGCAGAGTAGTTAGCGTGGTCAGACGGGCCAAGTCAGCAACGTGCGGGCAGCAAGGTATCAAAGGAGCAGGCAGAGAATGGTCAAGGTCACAAGCCGGGTTCAGTAACTCACGGACAGCGCAGTACAGAGGATCAGGCAGAAGAATAGTCAGGGATGAGCCAGTAGTCAGAACAGGAGACGGTCAACAGGAATCAGGATCAGACAGGGTCGGCAACAAGGTATCTTCTCACAGGAACTAGGAACAGGATACAGGGCACATGGGGGGACATACACCAAGGCTCAGAGCACAGGCCTGGTCATGCCTTATATACACCTTTCTGTAATCAGCCCCAGGTTTGGCTGATTGTGAGCTTCTGGCTGCTAAGAGCACCCGCTGGTCAGCTCTGGTACTGCAGCCCACACGGCAGGAGAGTCCCACCACCAGTGCTGAGAGCACCCGCTGGTCATCTCTGGTACTGCAGCCCACACGCAGGAGAGTCCCACCACCAGTGCTGAGAGCACCCGCTGGTCAGCTCTGGTACTGCAGTCCACACGGCAGGAGAGTCCCACCACCAGTGCTGAGAGCACCCGCTGGTCAGCTCTGGTAGTGCAGCCCACACGGCAGGAGAGTCCCACCACCAGTGCTGAATCCATTCCTGACATCCAGTTTATAAAACGTTCTGGATTTCTATGGACTAAGTCCAAAGCGGTACATGCCACCTTGTGGACTTTATTTCTTTAATTTACAATTTTTTTTTTTTCACTGAGTGCCAGGAGCATACCAACGCTCGCATACTGGACCTTCTGCTCTCAGCTTCTGCAGGGGCAGAGTCCTTTGTAGCCACTCTCCCTGCCCCTCCCCTCCTCCCTGTCCAATCACATAGAGCTTTGTATTATGTGAACCCATTAACAAAACTCAAAGCCTTCTGTAAATGTACAGTAGAGTGGGGGTAGGGACAGGCAGAGCTGCTGCTGTATGAGAAGGCAGTGTCTCTCCTAAGTGCCGGGAGTGTAGCTTTAGCTGTACTCCCAGCGCTCAGTAAAACCGTCAGGTGTAAATTAAATAGAGAAGTCCTAATGTACAGTAAGCTAAATTCCTGGAGTTTAGGTTGAAGCTGCATAGGCAGCTGGATGGGTGTGTTCACATGCTACAGCTGCAAATCATCCCCCCTGTTGTGTTCGGGCTGGGGCAGCCCTTCCAAATGCCTCTGAAAAGCAATTCACCACAGGTCAGAGGTGCTGCCAATTGTGTAAACGTTAAGGAAATATTTATCTAGGTTTCACATTTGGCTCTAGATCGTCTTGCCGTACACCAAGGATCACATTGTTACTTCTATTAATACGGTCTGCTCTTGTGTGAGACAATGAGAAAACTCTGCCGCTGTGTACTTAAGAAATGGAGAATGGATCTGGTATTTTGTGTTGTTAAGTACCAGCTGTGAACAATTTTCCTTGATGAAAAGCTAATGAATTTTGAAAGAACTACTCTTGCTAAGAAAAAAAAAAAAGCAGAGAAAACGAACATTTTTCAATGCTCAACTAGTAAAAGGCGGCAGCGGGACGTTAATGCCCCAGTGAAGGCGATCCAGAATTTCTCTGCTGCACCTCGTCTGATAGCGCAGTTGAGTCTTCACTTCATTTCAGATATTCTTGGCCATTCTATGGAGTACAAAGCCCGATTCATATTCCCATAATAGAAGCGATGACCCTTTTTCAGGGCCGTGAAAGGCAGACACAAAGGAACGGAGACATTCAACCGAAACCTAAAGACTGAGTTATTGTAAGGAGCTGCCACAAGACTTTGATCTTTGATTGGGTCCGGCATGAACTTTCTCTGCCGAAAGGTATTACCCAGCAGGCGCCCATGACGTCTAATTAAGCTGAAGGTTCGGAGTTAGTGGCCGTGTCTGATCATGGGAAATGTAAGAGGGTAAAGAATTGGGGATTAAAGGAAATTGGTGCTAGGAGAACTGCATAGAATTTAGTTGCTGACAACTCCTTCCAAATGCTGGATGTCTGCCAGTCATGCTGGTCAGTGTCCTGGAACAGGTATTCTGATCAGGAACTGTGAGTTCACTGGCTGCATGCTTGTTCGGGGTCAGTGTCTGAGGAAAATGTTGGAAGCATTGGATGAAGATGGTAGACAGGCATCCCAAAGAGTAACACTTATAT